CGATAAAATTACTGGAGTTTTCTTGGCTGACACTAAGAAAATCAATGAAGAAAGGAATATTTATATTCAAGTCAATGTAAATATTAATCCATAGAATGGTTCAAAAGAAATTCAAATTTAAAGTACTGTGAAGATTTACAATTATTTAAGTACTTCTTTAGAATTAGGTTTCTAAGTGAATGGTTAAATGAAAGAAACAACTTCAGTCAAATTGGAACCAAAATAAATTTATATTGTTCCTTTAGAATTCTTAGAAAATAAAACCGAAGTTAGATTTACACCAGAGAAAATATAAAATCGTCAATAAGATGAATAATTAGAAAGAAAATATTATTAATTAGACACATTATTGTGTGATCAACAATCTTTAGGCGAATTTGAAGTTGATAAGGATAATTCTATAGTTGAAGTGTTAGAACAAGCAACTCAAATTGTAACATCTTAAGGTAAATCAAATCCTGTAATTAAATCGGAATTTAAATAGATTCATGATCCTTTGAATTATAAATATGATCACATAATAACCTCAATGAAAAGTAATATTAAAAGAAATAACTTTTATTTCATAATTAATTGCGTGAAAATAAAAAATTAAATCACCAATTAAAGGAAAGCAATGATTAATTTCAATGAAATTGGTGAATAAAAGCCAAGTGAAGATGATAATGATGCTTGTTATGAAACTTATTTGATTTGTTATCCTATTTTTAAATTTACAAATGCAACAGTAAGAGATATCAATATACATTATGGTGTATTTTCTTCCAATAAATAACAATCTGAAAAATAACTACCTTGTTCACCAGTAAATCCAGATCAGCATTTCTATTGTGAAACATTAGATTATCATGATGATATTGAAGTTTAATTTTCAATAGAAAACTAAATCAAATTTGACCAAAATGAAGCATAAAATGATGATCTATTTAGAACTAAACCATTTAAAATATTTAATAGAGGTTTTGGTCTAGGTGAAGAGAATAAATTTTAAATTAAATTTAAACAATAAAAAGGTAATGATTAATACTTGACAGTTCTAATAAAAAAAAGATCAACCAAGTCAAGAGAATTGGTATTATATTGTCCATACTTAATATTTAATGAGACAAATAAGCTATTGATGTATAGGGAGTATGGCTTAACTTAAGATATTATTTCAGATGACTGGGTTTATTACTAAAATTTTAGTAAAACTTATTAAAAGAATAAGTAAAAGAAAGAAATAGAGTAACATTCTTAATATCATAATTTGCATTAATTTGCTACCAGCACAAATATGAACAAAATATAAGTTGCCATAGGATAAATAACTGATTAATAATCAGTGTCAGACATTTCTAAGTGGAGTAATCCAGTTAGCTTATAAAATAGCAATGTACTAGAAATAATAGGATCAACTGAAATTTTAAAAAAGGATCATGAGTAATTACAATCAAAAGATCGTAAAAAAAGAGCAAGTGCAGATGCTAAAGGAAAATTTGAATTTGGTATGGCAATCACAAGTGGCCCAGGATCGTTTCATAGAAGCAAATTAATCACAATTACACCAAGATTTATAGTGCATAATGAAACATAGTATAATATAGCCATGGCTTAAGTAGATACTGAGTATAGAGATAATAATCTATTGAGATTGAAGCCAGGAGATTGGAAATATTTTAGTTGGTCCAATATTAAAAAGCCTGCTCTTGCAATGATATCTTTTTATTAAGAATCCACTGGTCTAATATCAGGTTGGAGTGGGTACTTTAAACTATAGGTTTAAGAAATTTCGTTAAAAATTCCTAGCATTAAACCAATTATAAATAACAATAATTCTGATTACTAGTAACTTTATGTGCTTTAAAAGGTTAATATAACATTAATGGATGATTTAATCTTATTAATAAGATTCATATTAGAAGATCCAATAATTCCTCCTTATTATATAGAAAATTTAACAAAATATGAAATAACTTACAAGCAACAACCATCGAGTTAAGCATAGAAATATCGATTAAATTAAGCTAATCCAATTATGTAGAATAACGAAATCAATAGAGGCATTCATCAAGTAATAGCTTCAAATCCAGTTGGATCTCAAGATTAGGAATTAATACAATTTTCTGCTGGAGGAAGTGAAGTTACTTATTTATAACCTGGAGAAAGAGTAGCTTTCACTTGGGATCATTGGATTGATGACAAAGAACATGTGTTAGAGGTCGAAATAGAGGGTTAAACAGAAAAATATGAAATAGATAAGATTCAAAACTTTTAACCTCTCACCTTGCCTGGTTAATCATAAAAACGAAAAAAATTAGTAAATAAGAAATATCTTTATAAATAAGGAAATATATTTATTAAAGATTTGGATAAACCAAGAGAATATTATTGTACCCTCAATGTTTTAAAATAAAAATTCAATGTTTATTCTTCAGATAAGAAATAACACGAATCATACTATTTATAAGGAGCAAAAGTCGATGAAAGTAAGGATAATGAATTTGTATTAAAAATTAACCCAGAGAAAATGCTATCCAAAAATTTACATTTTTAAACCAAGACAGTTGATGAAGCAAATTAATGGGTAGAGTATTTATGGAGAGCAATTTTAATAGATAAACCTGAAATGGTGGAATTGAAAATTGAACCATCAAATTAAACTAAAGTAGTGACATTTTTTTAAAATAAATCTAATGATAGAGCTGATTCTCAAAAAGAAGGATCAGAAATTTAGTAAGATAAAGAAGAGGACACGTAACGTTAATAATTTACTTGTTATAAGATTTCAATAAGTAATTGTGTAGGTATATCTATTATTGATGAAACTCCAAAGGAAATATTGTAAATCTGCTTTAAAAACATATAAGCTGAATATATTTTGATAGAAGAAATTCAGAAAGACTTTCAATTAAGATAAAACTATGATGATGATGATAATACAAATGTATTAGCAGAAAAACCATAAATAAAATAAATAAAGGAGCACATAAACTTATCAATAGATTTAATTATCATTAATAATTAAATAATAAACTCGCAATTTCCTGTCTTGCTAGCCCCGAATAAAAAAAAAATATTTGGTAATTAATAACCATTTTTTGTTTTGACTACTTACAGAAAAGATTAATCATAAATTAAAAAGTCAAATGCAAGTATGAATAATGGAAGTAGAGTAGTTGTTAAGAATGAATCAAATGCTTAAGCAAGTTAAGTTTAAGCAAATGATTAACAATAAAATCAATCCAAATTTAAGATTTCTTATATTCACACACTATAAATGTTTACAGATACTTTAGAAATTAGACTGGATCATTAAATCTTAGATTAAATAATTTAGTATTATAATTTAATAGCAGCGATTATATGGGATAGTAATTTTAGTGATGTATAACAATCAAGCAATAGCTAATTTGGATTGGGATCTCTATAAAAAAAATAAGAAGAATAATTAAAGAAAATAAAATAACATAGTATCAGTAAGATTTATCTCAAAAATTTGATGCTAGAACCAATAGATATATGTTTTACTTTAAAGTATATGTTTGATAAAATTAATTAGATCATCTCCAGGTCACGTCATGAATTCATCATCTATAGGAGTCATAGCAGATTTGGGATTAACACTAGCATCAATTGACAGTGCAAAAATTAGATTAAATGCTTTTAAGACTTAACATATATTTGGATCAAGTAATGAAATTATTGGCAGAATATCTAAGCATTACAAAGGGTATATATATATGAATGTATTTTATTAGATAATTTTTAACATAAATTTATAAATTGTTAGGATCATTTGAAATATTTGGAAATCCAGTTTCTCTAATTTCTAATTTAGGAACAGGTGTGATTGATATGTTTTATGAACCCATATACGCTCTTGTTACAGGAAAGAGTGGTTATAAGGTAGGAGAAAAATTCTTTACTGGAGCAGTAACTTTAATCCACACTTCCATAACAGGTGTGTATAAAACAGTTAACACAATAATTGGAACAATAATGAAAATTCTTGATTAAATGACTTTAGATAAGAAATATATGTCAGAGAGAAGTAATAGATTGAATAGAGCAATAAAAAATTTTAGAGAAGGATTGATAATTGGATTCACTAATTTCGGAAAGATTTTATTTCAAACAATAATTGGAGTTTTAGAAAGACCAATTACTGGAATAAATGATGGTGGATTTTTAGGCTTTTTGTTGGGGATTTACTAAGGAATCATGGGAATTATAATCAAACCTACAGTAGGAATCTATGATCTTTTGATTACAATAATTGAAGGAATAAAAAATACAGCAATATATGAAGAACATATTATGGATACTCGATACAGACCACCAAGAATTTTTGGAGATAACAATCAATTAATCCCATTCAATTTTAAGCATGCCATAGGTACAGATATTATAAGGAGATACAAATTGAAAGTTATTGATGGAGAAAGTATTATCTTTTTTGATCAACTCAATATATCAGATGGAGACAAGAAAAAATAAGAAGCCTAAATAGTTTTGACTGATTCAAGAATTGTATATGTTTTGGTAATATTTATTGTCATACTTTTAGTCTCATTCATCAATACATTGTGATAAAATAATGATTTATAAAATTAAATCAATAAAATATTATGAAAGGTCAAAATTGTTGAGGTTCAAGCTTCATACTCCTGTTAGGAAATCTTGGTTTTAAGCAAACTCTACTAGATATGAATTAAAATATGAAAGTAAGATAAAAGCCATCAAATTGGCTGAATAGATATAAAAATCTTTTAAAGACAAATACAATATTAAATTAAGTAATTTAAAGGAGACAAATGAAAAAAAATGAAAAACTTAATATATTTTGTAAAATATGTCAATTTAATAAACTTTGAATAATTTCAATCAGTTTTTCAGACAAGTTTTTTATAAGTTAATTGGTCTCTCTTTTCAAATTGAATAACTTAGGGTAAATTTATGAAGCCAGGCCAATTTTTTCATTGAGATTTCCTATATATTTACTATGTTCGATAATATTTTCAGCTCACTTTCTCCTGAAATAAAGGTTATTTGAGAGAAAATTCTGCAAATACACAACCAATTGCCCATACATCTAAAGTTGGACAGTATTTTTATGAATTTAAAAGGAATTCTGGTGCTCTATATTTCATAGTACATATTTATGTTGTTATTGGCTTATCCTCCCATAATCTTGCTAAAAAAAAGTTTGATATTTTCAAAATGCCATCCTTAGTTATTAAAACATTCTCAGGTTTAAAATCTTGATATAGTATCATTTAGAATGATGATCATCAAATCTCTATAAATTTAGAGATGCATTAATTTGATGTCGCTTTCTTAACATGATTCCCCAGTTTCTCTGTACGATTAAATTATCTCAAAAAGAAAAACCATATGATCATAGACAAAACAAATTTAGCCAAATGTATCATCATTTATTTTTTTTTTGATGTTTTCATAAGCACATGCTTAGGTATGTTTAAATTTTGGTAAATCATTTTATTCATAAATCTGACCTCACATAAACTATCAATGTCCAATCCGACTTTCTTGTTTAAAAATTTAAATTTTGTTATTACTACAAATTATGGATGAGCTTCTACTTCTACTAATGAAGGAATTCATTAAAATATTCTCTTATTATTTATAAATTTCTCACATTTACACAGATAAATCTTACCATATGCTCCTCATGGTAATTTTTTTACTTTTATATAATGTTCATGATATACACTTTGCATAATATTAATTGTATATAAATTTTTAATTCTATTTATAATATTTGCCTCTTGATTATAATCTAGAATTCTTTAAATAATTGATATTTAATTAAATATATCGATCTATTAATTATTTAGTTGCTTATTTAAATCAGTCAAAGGGACATATCTCACTCCCTGAACATTTTAAATATTAATTTTCCCATTTTGATCCTTATCAATTACTTAAAAAACTTGGTTTCCCTTACCAACAGGAATTACCATACGACCGCCATTATCTAATTATTCTAATAGTTTCTGTGGTATTGTTTCAGCTGCAGCACCTACATGAATAGCTTAATAAGGGCCTTCTTACTCAAACCCTAATCGTCCATCTCCTTTTATAATTTATATTTGTTTATCTTTAACTATTACTTATAAGTACTATCTATTATTATTTTAATTTACTAGCTTAAATTTTTGATTGATTTTTCAACCAATTCTGGAACATGTTCCTCTCCAATTACTTTGGATTATTATGATTTCATTATAAAAAACATTGCAGCACATAAGTATCCACTACCAGAACCAATATCAAGAGCTCTTACTCCATTTTATAAACGATCTTAAAGTAATTCCTAATTACTTAATATAATACTAAAGAATATGAGGAGCAGATATAGTTGCATTAAAGCCTAATTAAAATGGTTAATCTTCATAAGCAGATATTTTATCAGACTCGTCAACAAATTATTTAAGATCTACAGTTAACAAAACTTATTTCAAAATTTCAGATTTAATATTACCTTCTTTAAACAAATTTTGCACTAATTTTTCTAGTTTATTATTCATTTAATTTATGGACATTGAATTTTAAATAAAGGAAAATAAGATCGCGATACTAATAATTGGAATGGCAGGCACTGGCAAAACAACTTTTGTCTAGGTTAGGAATCAATCAATATTATTAGCAATTAAGCAAACAATTAAAAAATGAAAAACATACTTTAATTAATCTTGATCCTGCAGTTTATTCATTACCTTATGAGCCAGAAGAAGATATTCGTAAATCAATTAATTATAAAGAATTGATGACTAAGTAAGTTATCCTTTATATTAAATTCTAGAAATAAACTTGGTCCTAATGGAGCAATCATGACAGCACTCAATCTTTACTCCCTTCAATTAAACTAGTTAATTGAAAAAATAGAAAAGTCAGACTCCAATATATAAATTATTGATACTCCTGGACAAATTGAAGTTTTTACTTGGTCAGCATCTGGCAATTTAATATCATAAACATTATCTATGTCTATGCCTACAATAATATTTTATGTTATTGATATTGCAAGATGTTAAAACCCTAATAGTTTTATGAGCAATTTATTATTTAGTTGTAGTATATTCTACAAATTTAAATTGCCTATGGTTATAGTCTTTAATAAGTGTGATGTGGCTGACTCAAAATAACCATTAGAATGGTTGAGAAATTATGATTCATTTACAGAAGCTTTAAAGAATAAGGATACTTATTTATCTACTTTGAGCAAATAAATGGTCTTAACTTTAGAAGAGTTTTATAATAACTTTACAGTATTAGAGGTTTCATCATTAACTGGATAAGGTTTTGAAAAAATTAATGAAGTTATTGCAACAGCAAAGTAGGAATATATGAATATTACTCTTGTTGACATTTAAAAAAGAATGAATGATTAGAAACAAAAAAATTATGATAAATAAATCAATCAGATAACTTAAAAAATTTAGAATTTGTGAATTATAGATAATCATTTTTTACGATACACTCTTTCCTTTTCTTTTAAATCCAATATTAGTATGTCTTATTCCTTTAATCTCTAATCCATCTGATATCTCAATCTTTTATCTATTTCTTATTCTAAAATATATTCAAATCAATTACATTTTTTTAAATCCACTATAATCAAATTTGCTTATTCTTAATCTTTTTTTAATAAACTAATTTCACTTTTTAAATTATCTAATTCATTACATTAATCTCTCAAACTCATCTTGTCATTTTCATATTTTGTGATTTCATTAAAATGTTTAGCTTCTAATTCTCTAATTTAATCTCTTTACTTTTTTTCTAATTCTTCCATCTAATCTTCATATTATTCCTAAATTGTTATTCTAATTGACTCTTTATATTCATTTAATTAAGATTTCAAAGCTATTATTTCTGCTTCTTATTAAATAATTCTTCTTTAGGCTTTATCAAATTCCTCAATTTATTCTCTAGCAATTTAAAATGAATTTTTCATTTCTTGAAATGTTAAATTTAGATCTGCCACACTCTTTCCATCTTCTATTGTTGATTAATTTAAGAAACTTCCATGAAATGAATTTTATACTCTACCATCTTATTCAGTTCTCAATTCTAAAATTTATTAATCTTTTTAATCAATTTCTTCCTAGAGTTTCTTGATTTTTTCTTGTAATAACTATTTGTCTGCTTTTTATTTTTCTAAAGATTTTGTTAATGATTATATTTTTTCTAATTCAGCATTTAATTTTAAATTTTCTGCTTACTTCTCATGTAATTCATCTCTAATTTACTCATAAGCATATTTCCATTTTGTCTTCTCTTCTTCCAATAATTTTATTTTTCGAGTATCTACATTCATTTATAAAGAAGGTTATTCTTATTATTATTACAACTATTTGATTTCATCAATCTTCACTTACAATAATATTTTCGATTCATTTAATTACTTCTAAAGATCAGTTATTTTATTATTCAACAACTATACTGTATTTTTTGAAAAATCATGAGTACTTTCTTTTTAATCTTCTACAACTATAATTACATCATCCTCTTCTTTTGGTTAATTTAATTATCTATTTACGACTTTAGCAATTTCCTCTTTTGAAAATTATGCTTTCTCATCTTTAATTATATCTTTGATATTCTCTGCCTTTACTTTCTATTCGCTTTAAACTTCCTATTAAATTTAGCAATTTGCAAACCAAGGGTGTTCTCTCATTTTTTGAATATTAAATCTCTTCTAAGGATCTCTTTACAATAATCCTTAAACCAAACTCTTAGCCAAAGACGGGAAATCATTTGGAAAATTGATTTTAACCTTCAAAATATTATCCTCAAGAATCTTTTAAGATTCTTTTTGATCTTTAACTTATGAGGAAGGAGCAAATGGTGCTTTTCCAGTTAATAATTCATAAATTAAGACTCCTAAACTCCAATGATCTATTTTTTCATCATGACCGCATTCTAAAATCATTTCTGGAGCCAAATAATCTAATGTACCACAATAAGTTGTTCTTTGATGATTATTGATATTAGACCAACCAAAATCAGCTATTTTAATATGTCCATTTGCATCTAAGAGTATGTTTTCTGGTTTAATATCTCTATGAATAATTGGAGGATTTCTTGTATGCAAATATTCTATTGCTGACATGGCTTCCTACATAAATTATTTGACTGTCTTTTCATCAAAACGACCTATTCGATTCAGCTTTTACCATAATTACCCTCCTGTTGCACATTCTAAAATCAAATAAATATAATCCTCTTCTTCATAATGATTGTATAATTTTACAATATTAGGATGTTCCAATCCATACATTATTTTAACCTCATTGATGATTTATTAAGTCATTTTTTGTTGTTTTATTTACTTTTTAGCTATTTATTTAAGAGCAAAAACCATTTTTGTTTTTTTGTGTCTCACTTTGAATACTTTTCCAAATGCTCCTTATCCCAATCCTTAAATTACTTCAAAATCTTGAGTACAAGCTTCTCTTTCCATTTTACCCTATACTGTTGGTGAGAAAAAGAGTATTCTCTCTTTAACTTAGTTAATTACTAAACCAGTCGACATTTATTCTTCTGAAAATTTATTATTACATAATATTTAATCATCAAATAGATATCAATAATTTTTATTGTATTAGTCATCATATACAATTGAACTATTGTTAAACAAAAATGTTGATTTAAAATACACAATAAAATTCATTTGCATTCATACCAATTATTTCCTATTTTAGCATCAACTTCTAATGGTAATTCTAGTTATATTTCAAAAGGATTTTCCATTAACTCTTTTACAATCTTCAAAGCTTCCTAAGAATTTTCTTCGGGGCCTTCCTATAAATAATTTAAACTATAAATTACTAGAATCAATTCATCATGAACTTGCAAAAGTAATTTGTAACCCAAATCTTTCAATGATTAATTTTTATATATTTTGACCATAGCGGCAATTACTATATCTGCAGCTCCTCCCTAAATAGGAGTATTTATTGCTGCTCTTAATCCATGATTAATATAAGATCTAGTTTATTATTAAAAATATTTTTCCAAGTATCTATATCGCCCTAGTAAAGTTTAGGTGAAAAATTAATTTTTTGCAATCATTCTAACATTATATTACCATTATTCCTATCTAAACCAAATATAATACCACTTCTTTTCTTTAAGCAAACCAAGCATCTATAGTTTTTTATGCTTCCTTCACTTCACATTACCAATCTTTTGCAAATCCAGTTGCAGTTTTACCATAAGCAATTGAAAAATTCAAAACTTTAGCCTTTCTTCTTTCAGCTGCATATTTGTCTTTTACTAATGGAGCTGGTGCTTTTCCTTTAGATTTGTCCCATTCAATTAACAATTCTCCTTTATCTATTTCTTCTTAGATATGTGGAAACATCGTCTTAAAAGATTAACAATAATATCATACAATGACAGTTCGAGAATGAAAATCTCCTCCTTTTAGAAAAGCATCAATCATTGCTTTACATTTAGTCATGTGTGCTAATACTCTCAATTCCAATTAACCATAATCAGCCACTATTAGTTTGTTTCCCTTTTTAGCTATAAAGGATTTTCTTATTTTATATCTATCCTTCTCTAATGCAGGCTAATTTAATAAATTTGGATTTCTAGAACTTAATCTTCCAGTTTCTGTATTTATATTAATACTAGTATGAATACGACCTGATGGATCAGTTAATTCAATTAATGGGATAATAAAAGTATGTAATAAAACTTCTATACTCTTTAATTCCAATAAATCATTTATTGCTATGCATGCATCAATACCTTTTTAAGGTTCCCCTTTACCAACAAAGTGATGATATATCAATCCGTATTGCTACTTCTCTACATCTCCTGCTAATTACTTCAAGGCATTATAATCAGCTTATGGCATTCCACTAGGAGTATAACTTAAAGGTTCTATTCCTAAACCCTTTATAAGCATTTCCGTGTATTTAAGAGGAGTTCTTTAATTTTCTTTAACAATTTAATGTATATTATCAATCTAAAACCCTTTTACTTCAGGTAAGTCTTCAACTTCTTTCCTTATGGATTTTTTCCTTCCATCTGAAAGATATTCATCCTCCTCTTCTTCTTCTTTCATTGTTTAAGGTGTCTTTTTCACTTACTATTTCTTACATGGGGCAAAGAATAACTATTATAGTTGTTAAGTACTACTACAATTGAATTAAGACACATCTCCTTCTTAAGTAGTTTATACCCATTTAATAAAGTTTTATTCATATTATTTCATATCTTCTTCAGCTTTTACCTTAATGTTTTTTACGTGATCCATATCAACTTGCATACCTTCCCTCTCTAACTCTGTTAATATTTCTCCTAAAGAATTCCAATATTTACTATAGATATCACCTAAACTATTAATTCCAAATTCATTTTTTTTAGTCTGGTAATCAGAATCTGTGGGTTTTAAATTATAAAATATTTTTGTTTTGTTTAATAAGTCTTTTAATGTGAGACATAAAAAATATGTTATTTCTGAATCTAAAGTAGAATATTCAATCCATTAATTAATATATTGAGGGAGGCAATGCATTTATAATATCTTAGGGTATACCTTTAATTTACTAACTTAACCATTTTTTAATTCTTTATTTTGTCCAAAGATCTATTTCATACTAGTTTTGAGATTGATATCAAGTAGATGATCTCCAAATAATTAGAGGCTACTTCTTTCTTCATCTGTTAAGTTGGGTTTTGCCAATAAACATTCCATTCTTTTGGTTTTAACTAATTTTATTTCTTCTTCATAGGCTAATGACAATTTAGCTAAACTATATTCTTAAGGCTGTTTTGATGGATCTAATAGTCTGGCCATATGCATAGTATCTCCAAAAAAACCTCTAACATTAATTCCATGATTGCCAAAGATGTGTTTATCAAAACCATAATTATGCCATATTTTTAATATCTTTTCATCTTCAAAATATTCTTTAAACAGCATAATTAAATCACTATTCTAAGCAAAATTATCTATAAACAGTCTAGGACCATTCCCAAAATTAACTTCAGGACCTGCAAATGCACTTGCACAAATTAATTTTCCTCTATTAATTGGAGTCTCACTCTTAACATCTATATCTATAGTTTCTGTATCCCATGCATGAGGCTGTTTTTTATACTTATTTAATATATCAATGACTCTTTTTGCATCATTTATATTTCTGACAATTGTCACGCCTGGTTATTCTTTTACATCTTCAATCGTTTTATTATAATAAGAGCGATATAAATCATACTCTGGTGTTTTTGAACTACCTCCTATTCTACTTTTAAGCGATGTAATGTTATTGATTTAAGCAAATTTACAAAATCTAAATTTTATCATAAAATTATAATCACATTTAATTATATCAATCTAATTTATTATAATTCAAAGTCCTTAAAATAGATGTAAAACTTTTGATACATTACAACACGCGATTTGATACTATTTAGGTATATTTTTATAAAGTAACTGATAATTGTATTATTAAATTTATAATTCATCATAATCCATACATTGAGTATTAATATTATGAAATAACACAGAATTGATTATGAATAATGTCTCTTTTAATGCAAAACAAAGAAAAAATAATTCATAGGAAAAGAGAATAGATTTATATATGTGTTTGAGGATCGCTTGATAATAAATAGGAACTAAAATAAAGGTGATCCTGCAAGAGTGATTATGTTTGAAAATTTAAATAGAGTAAAGTGGAACTATTCAATGAATTCAAAAACATTCAAAACCTTTCTTAAAAGCTTTACTTTGGAGACTAATAAGGAATTATTGAAATATTATGCAGACTTTGAGATGTTAATAGCTTTAAAAAAGATATTACAGAAATTTGTTTAACAAAGTTCCCTTGAAGATGAATATGAAACTTAGCAGGTATTGGGAGAGGGTAGTTATGCTGTAGTATTTCAATTGAAAAATATTTTCACTGGATAGCAATATGCGGGAAAGTGCATAGAGAAAAAAAAACTTGATAAAATTGATAAAGGATTAAAGGCAGTGATGAATGAGATAGAAATTATGAGAATTTTAAGTCCACATGCTTAAATAGTTAATTTACATGAAGTTTATGATGGCGAAAATAGTATAAATTTAGTATTAGATTTATGTTCTGGGGAAAATTTGTAAGCAGAATTAACAAAACGGAATTTAATTCTAGAAGATTCAGAAGTTAAAATTGTAATTATTTTTAATTATTTTTAGATTATGCATCACCTTTTATTAGCCGTTGATTACATTCATAGCAAAGGAGTCATGCATAGAGATTTAAAACCTGAAAACATACTCTTTTAGAAACCATAAGATTTTACAACATTAAAGATAGGAGATTTTGGACTTGCCACAATATAAACTGATGTTCCTTATCTTTATCCTAAATGTGGTACTCCAGGATATGTTGCTCCAGAAAGTAATCTTTATGTTTTAATTAGAGTAAAGTTGCCAATTTAGTTGAGAAAGATAAAGAATATAGTAGAATCTGCGATATCTTTAGTTGTGGAGCAATTTTTCATTTGCTTTTATTAGGAGAAGGAGTATTTCCAGGTAAAGGACATTTGGAATTACTTAAATTAAATAAAGAATGCAATATAAATCCAGATGATAAAAGATATGACATTTTAACAATTGAGTAAAAAGATCTATTGTAAGAATAATTAAAATTATAAGATTTAAAATGCTTAAGACTAATCCTGATCATCGACCTTTTGCCAAAGATTTACTAAATCATCCATATTTTACTAATTAGAAATTAAATGCTGTTGGAATATTCAGCATGAATGTGATAAAATACGAAGAAGATAATACTTTAGTTATGTAGGATTTAATCCATTCTCCAACGAAAATTGGATTAGAAAAAAGATTTTCATTTTTATAAATGAGTAATGAAAGAAACACTCCTTTAAAAATTATTTGATAAACATTATACTGTTCATTTGTAAATCATTTCGTTTAGATAATTATTTATTATATTCAATTTATTATAAGTGAATTTGGCCTTAAATCATGGAATCTTTAGCTCAATAAATTAAGGCATTGTAATCGAAGAATCAAGAGCTTTCTTAATTAGAAAATAGACTGGTTTAGTTAAAATAATAGTTAAAATTACAAGAATCGAATAATCATATAATATAATAGAAAGTTAACAAAATATTGGAAACTAAGGAAAGTACATATTAAAATCAGAGAGATGTAAATATTATTAGTAATTTTAGTTATTAAAATAACTTGAATAATCTCAAAGCGTCAAAGATGCGAATTATAATCGTATTCGTATAATGAAGCAATCATAAGTAGATGAAACAATGAAATTAAAATAATAATTATCAGATGATAAACTATTGAGAACACTTACATAAAAACAAAACTCACAGATTCTTTAATATCAACTCAAAAAATTAAAGGATGAGGAGTTATATAATAAGCAATAGTAATTTAACAAAGTAATTTTTGAATAAGAGTTTATTTTAGATTTCAGAATGGGAATTCTAATTGAAGTAAGATCTAGAATATAAGAAGAACGAAAAAATTGAAAAAATAAGGGCAGAATAATTATAATATAAAGCTTAATTATCTTAAAAGTTAGATTAATAATAAAAATATCATTAAAAACTATAAGAAGAAGAATAATAATTGTTAAGGTAATTTTGTCTTTTAAACAAGTTAGCAAATTACACAATTCCTAATCAATTGCTTAGAATTTAAGATAAGACTTAAGTTAAGCTTAAAGCCTTAGTATTAAATTTTATAACAATTCATTGACAACTCTCTCCTCCTCTATCAAATCATATAGTGTACCAAAATTAACAAAGAAATAACTAGAAAGTCCTTATGCTCAAATTCCTGCAATTCTCAAAATAAAAATCAATAAGTAATGTTAAATTTAATAGTAGAGAAAAATCTTATGGTGGCAGCGAAAACTTCTTCCCTTGCATTGAGAAGCCCAGCTATTAAGAACAATAAAAATATATGGAAAGACTTTATTAATCTAGGAATTAGCTTCCAATGAATTAACAACATGAACATCAAATTTAGAAAACTGGAATTCAATAATTTAAATAAACAAGTCAATCTCATTTTGAATCCTAAAGTCATAATCATAATAGTAATAGAACAAAATTTTTGAGTTCAACATAAACTGGTAAATAGAAAGATTTTGGCACAATAACAAAAATGACAGACACAAATAGGTCAAACAATCAAAAAAATAACAATACTTAATAAAAGGATACATAGGAGTAATAAGAATAGAAAAAGATAGAAACTTTAAAAGATCCAAAAGATATTTCAAAAAAAGAAGATTAATTAGAAAAGCAAAAAAGTCTAAAATAAGAAAATGAAAAAGAATAGCCACCTTAAAAAGAACCTGAAGAAGTAGAAGAAAATTATGAAGATGAGAATTACGAAGATGAATTTAATCAAGAATAGGAGGAGGAGTAGGAGTAAGAGTAGGAATAGTAAGAAGATGAGCATTAATCAGAACAGAAAGATAATAAAGAAGATTATGAAGAAGAATAATAATGATATGAATTTAAGATATAAATCTATTTCATAGATTTTCTAAATATACAAATCATATAAATAATGTACATATTCTTGCAATTATTGTCTAAATTGGTTAATATATAAGCATAGCTCCCAATTAGTATTCTTTTGCATTTATGTCTATGCTGTCTTTATGTAATTACCAATTTAATTCCAATAACACTACTATTGCGTATGCAACAAAAACGCATGATATTCCGATTAAATAGGCTATAACTATTGCTTAGAATTGCATAATAGCAAATTAAATCTAACTGATAAATATGATAATTGGGCAAATCATCATGAAAAGAAATGCCTTTTTATTTTCAATATTTTCCTTTTTGATAAACGAATATGCTTCAAATCCGATACCAATACCTGTGAACATACTTAGAGCAATGCATAATAAGTATTCCTTTAATTAAGTTTTGCTCTCATCATCAGTAGTATTGTCTTCTTGCATTACCATAAAACTTGTAATGCCAATAAGAATTAATGAATAGAAAAAGATTTCTATTATTACTAAAACCCATTTAATTATCTAGATATCAATTAAGATATACATAATTAATTCTACGATGAAATATCAAAATCAATGGATATAATATAAGAGAAAAGGCTAAGCTCACCCAAAATAACGCAGAAAATGAATAATCTACTCCGTTAAATTTAATTAAAAAATGCGAAAAGCATTAAGGTTAATATCCACATCCAAACATTAATGAAATTTACAAAATAAGGATGATAATTGAAAAAATAGAAGATATCTATTTAAGATATTTTAGCTTAATCTCATAACTCCCAATACTTAAATCATGCTAGCCATTTTGACTTTTTATTATTGATTTGGTTAAACTTACTAATAGTTGAAATTGAACCCCTAATAACATACAACATAAAACTTAAATATCATCGAAGGTGAACTTTTTAAAAAATGAAAATTTACTTCTTTTTATAATTTATATTATTAAGTGATTTATAGCATATATGAACTCAACCATGTAATAATCATAGTCACAAATGTTTAAAATAATGGTGAATAGATTCCTACAAATATATTCAATATGAATTCAATTGAAATTGGAGTAATTAATACAATTAACCAGCATTCTAATAATAGATATATATATGATATTCAATACCTTCTCCTTAAAAATGAGTGTTTGTCATATTTGAATAAAAATTAAGTAATAAAATTACGCCTCCAATTTACAAATAAATTCTCCATAATTAATCTTCAAAATTCACTCCTAAAAGAGTCCAAATAAAAAGAAATGCAAAACTCCCGCAACTTAAGTAAATTACACTTGCTAATGTATTCCAAATTTTTTTATTTTAATTGTCAGCCAGAGAAGCACTGTATTCAAAATAAAAATGACATAGTTAGCAAATTATGATTAGGCCCCAAAAGATCCATTATTTTTCATATTAATATATATATTTTCCTAAAAGTGAAACACCACAAAAACACTAAGATTTAAGAATTATTTTACAATATATTCCAAGAGTAGGAGAGTGTATGTTTTACGAATAAATGTATTTCTATAATCATCTAAACTGATTCTAAGGGAATATAATCTTTAAATACCCATTTTTATCAAGGAAACTCTTTTGCATGGATAATATTTCCATATAACTCATCTTTGATAATGTAATATTATATAATTATGAAAATAAATAAATATTTTTTATACCATGAATTTGTGATGGTTATCTCATTGTGCTTCCTTCTTTATCAGCTCTACTATATCTGATCTACAATTTGGACACTTACGGCTATTGGATAGCCAAGATTTACAACAATTTTCGTGAAATATATGTTTACAAGGGAGCTACAAAATCTACTCCTCTTTATATATTAAATACTCTTTACCTTTCTGGAACTCATTGCAACATATGCTACACTTCTTATTGGATTTGCCCATTTTCATTCGTTTAATTTTATCCATATAATTTTTAGGAACTCCATTGCTTTTA